GTTAACTGTTATACCGACTCTCTAGTAGAACGATTATGAAGCCGTTCAGTAAAGAAACGTTGTAGCATTGTTATACATTATGCCGACTCTCTAGTGGAACGATTATCAAGCCGTTCAGTAAAGAAACGTTGTAGAATTATTAAGCATCATACCGTCTCTAGCGGAACGATTATCAACCCATTCAGTAAAGAAACGTTGTAGAATTATTAAGCATTATACTGTCTCTTTAGCGAAATGATTATTAAGCCGTTCAGTAATTAAACGTTGCAGAATTGTTAAGCGTTATATCGTCCAGTTAGTGAAACAATATTTTATGAGAAGTATTAATGTATTACGTTGAATGCGTAAATCATTTACTGAATTAACAATTAATTGAAATTCCTTGTAGTAAGAATCAAGTTAAAACTGTGTGATAAACTTCGTAGTTATCACATACGATATAGATGTTTCGTCCAAGTGGCACCACGATCTGAATAACGTAGTTATCACACACGATATAAATGTTTCGTCCAAGTGGCACCACCATCTGAATATCAGTCTGGTTCATTTTTCCAAAAAAGCTGCTAGAAAAGATGGATCATGCATTTTAGGGTAATTTATGGCAAAAAATAGATTTGGGGCAGTTTGAAGGTGCTGAATTCAAAAAGTTTATTTCTTCATCTGGCAAATGGCTTCTTCATCGTTGACGCTATTTGCCCTTGGGGTTTGTTTATATATCTTTTTATACACAGAGTTAAATTTTCTTTTAGTATGCAGTTTGGGTCAATTTGTGAATGCTGAGTTCAAAAATGGTTATTACAAACCGAAATTTCGTCTCTTTCTTCCAAAAAACTTAATAAACAACCGAAAATGGCGTCCCAAAGGCTGTATTTATTTAGGCGTACGGGCTGCCATTTCCATATCTGCATAATTGCACTAAACAGTAGCTGCTATGTCTAAACTGAAACACAAAGTCAATGCTTAATAGTAGAGGATAGCTTTTGGTCATATGTTAAATTAGAAAATCTTATAAGGAGAAATAAGCTAGTTGTCCATGTTCATGCAGTTGCCAATAAGGACAGAACTACTAGAATGGATACAATGCAATATTATACGTGTATCTACTTCTTCTTGGGAACTTCACAGCAACATCTGATTGGCTACAAGACTTGACTTTGCTGAATAAATCCCCCTGCACATACAATCACGGGTATTTCAGCTTGTGTTGCTTGCTTTGAAATTTCCACTGATAGGAGCTCAACCATTTGAATCTTGTTTTCAATAACAGCTAAAAAAAAAAAACCTGCCCAGTCATGAGGTAAAGGAACATCGGAAGACTGAATTGACGTGGGTTTCTTGGCTTTGTTGTGGCGGATTTCACAGACAAAATTTGATAATGGTAAAAACAATGTCAAGTCGCTTGAATTTTTTCCCTGCCTTAAAGACCAATGCATAGAAAACACTAGCAAAATCTCCAAAGTTTTTTTTCCCCTTGAGGTTTTCCAAGGATATGAACTACAAATATACTATCAATGATCAGTATTGTATTTTCATATGAAGGCAAGCTCTTAGCACAAGTGATCTTTGGTATCAGATAATCATCAGGAAGTAACATTCAATGCTACTAAAGAAAGAGGGACTGATGACAGTTATGTTTTATTATTTCATTCAGGTCAACACTTTGCCCAGCTTTATACGCAACAACAAGTCGTTGTAAGAGAGTCCAGCCAGTTTTAACAGTCTTGATTTTGTACTTTCCCATACCTGAGGCTTTCACTTCATATATGATATCATATGTAAGATATTTGTTTTTGGACAAAGGATCATCCCAGGGCACAGTGTGTAGGATCAATCTTTGCTGTAGAAAGGTTAACATTTGAGCTTGTCCACTTTCTTTCACTTTCAGCCATACTGATGTTGCATCTGATGATGCTTGATCTTTGTTGAACAAAACTTTAAAGGTTGAATCAGCTCTGCAACACTTGTTTGAGGTTTTCTTCACACGCTGTGTGTCCAAGTCCATTTGAATTTTGCTGGATTCTTTGCTTTCCATTGAATCATCTATATATCGAAGATTGTAAGACAGGGTCACCTTGACAAAACAGAATGTAATCTGATAATTCCAACAATATTTTCTCTGACTTTTCCTGAGCATAATCAGGATCTAACTGATTGAATAACTTTTAGCTACCTTCAATCACAAAGTTACCTGTTGGAATTCTTCTTCGACATCAGCAGGAAGCTGGTTTAATCTTCAATAGCATAACATAATGTTTTTATATACTTTATGTTTATACTGTATCGTGAACTATTGTCAATGTTTTTATATACTTTATGTTCATACTGTATCGTGAACTATTGTTAATGTTTTTATATACTTTATGTTCATACTGTATCGTGAACTATTGTTAATGTTTTTATATACTTTATGTTCATACTGTATCCTGAACTGTTGTTAATGTGAACATAAAGTATATAAAAACAATAGTTCACGATACAGTATTAATGTTTTTACTCTATGTTTGCTGAATTGTGAAGTATTATTATTGACTGTTAATGTTTTGACTTTATGTTCATGTATATTCTAAACTGTTACTGACTGTGGTGTTTTTACTTTACATTCATGTTGTAATCTGAGCTGTTACTAACTGTGATGTTTTTATTTTATGTTCATGTTGTAATCTGAATTCTTAGTAACAATGATGTTTTTATTTTATGTTTATGTTGTAATATGAGCTGTTACTAACTGTGATGTTTACTTTACGTTCATGTTCTAATCTGAGCTGTTACTAACAATGATGTTTTACTTTATGTTCATGTAGTAATCTGAACTATTACTAACATTTATGTTTTTATTTTATGTTCATGTTGAATTCTGAACTATCACTGACTGTATTGTTTTTATTTTATGTTCATGTTGAATTCTGAACTATCACTGATTGTATTGTTTTATTTTATGTTCATGTTGAATTCTGAACTATAATGACAGTGATGTTTTTATTTTATGTTCATGCCATTACAATAGAAACATACTGTTCTTGTATGAGAAAGGGTGGAACCAATAGAAACAACTACGAAACACTGGTGCTGGACCACGTGAATATATTCACCAGTGTAGTGATACCCGCGGGAACTATCGAACGAAGAAGCATCGGTTAGAAGGTCAAGTGGCACGTGAGAAATATTGACATCTCTGCTAGGCCGCGGGGATTTCATGCTGGTTTACATCGACGAAAAATCAATTGTAGCCTCCAAAACGAGAGAGTAGGTCGTTTGTTGAGGAGATTCAGAAGGGCGATAGAGGACGAGCTTATCGAGGAAGACGTTATATTATAAAATATTCAATTTGTTCATGATTCATTAACATGCTTATCTTGTGGTTGTGGAAGAAAGGACTGGTTAAGGTAACTATGAGAGCGAGATTAGGTGTATCACTTAAGTAAGTATCACGTTAGGTGTTTACAGACTTTAATTTACCTTATAACACTTTTATAGTGTGAATTCAACAAAATGAAGTTTGAACAGTGATGTATATTTTAGCTTGTACGGCAGTGTATTTTTTAATGAAAAGTATGTTTTTCTTTTATCTTATTATTTTCATGTGAATTCAACAAAACAAAGTTTGAACAATGACGTATATTTTAGGAAAAAATCTGGCTTCGCTTAACACATAGTCTTGTAGAATATTTTCTTTATTGGCGAGCTAGGAACTGAGTATATATTCCGGTTGTAACATACATAATGGGGGTTGGGTGAGCAAAAACCTAACATTCAGGTTGTAAATGTTTGTAACATACATAATGGTGGTTGGGTGAGTAACAACCTAACATTCAGTTTGTAAATGTTTGTAACATACATATTGGGTTGGGTGAGTAACAACCTAACATTCAGTTTGTAAATGTTTGTAACGTACATATTGGGGGTTGGGTGAATAACAACCTAACATTCAGTTTGTAAATGTTTGTAACGTACATATTGGGGGTTGGGTGAATAACAACCTAACATTCAGTTTGTA